CCCAATAACGGTCCCGCTGCCCCGGGTCACAGCCCCGCCCCCAATAAGTCGCCTCACCCACAATAACCGTCGCGTCGCCCCGCCTGCCGCACCTGGTTGAGGAAGGTGAGGTACTTCCAGCGGCCGCCGTACGTGGTGTCGCTGTCCCGGCGCGGGGAGTGCGGCAGCCCCACGTTTTGGCAGAGCGAGAAGAGCGCCCACACGAAGCAGCACAGGTGCAGCACGGTCACGGGCCGCTCGCCGCGGAGCCGCAACCGCCCCGCCATTGTCGACCGCCTCGCGCCTCGCGCCAGCCGCACGTGGGGGCCCTCTGCGCATGCGCCTCCCCCGCGACCCACACGTGACCGGCGCTGAAGCTACTCATTCCCGCCGGGTCTCCGCGAGCTGGGCTGGGGGCGGCGCCTCCCCCGATACCCAGCCTTGCCAGGCCTTAAAGGCGAAACAGTGCTGGAAGCTCCACATGATCCTGTTTGCTGAAAAACATGCACATCAATCCTATTTCCTTTATATTGCTTGCTGCAACCCGCCAGCGAGCGAGAAAACTGGGTGAGCAACGCTGATTCCGAGGCCGGGCATCCTCAGAAAGTGCAGGCAGCAAACCCTAAGAGCAACTGGGATGTGCTGCATCGATTATAACCCTCCACACTTCTACCGGTTCAAAAATAAGCATATGCTGGCCTGAAAAATAACCCTGCATGTTGAACCCTTCGACTGTTCTCGACCGGACGTTGTAGGACGGTTGAAATGCTTGTACCAATGCGGTACTTATTGCTTATGGAGCCATCAGTGTCAACCGGACGCAACCACCTGGCTGGCTCCTGGGCGTAGGTCTCGTGTGGAGACGTTCACGCCTGAGTTTTCATGCCTTGCTTCGACACCAAATGCAAGCAGCTGAGTGGAGAGGATCTCATAGCTGGTACCAGCGCGACTGCAATCCTGACGTGCTTCACGGGGAGACTTAGAGTTACTGCATGCAATGAGGATAAAAGACTTCTGCTCTGTAGAAAAGTTTCCTAAAATTCACGAAGAGCTGTTTGTTTCCCAACAGACAATTAAGGGTCAAAGAAATGAAAGGGAATCAGAAACAGGGTCTTGCAAAGCTCCTCGCATCACCTGGGTGTCTAATGAAAGCTGACCACCAGCGTGCATGTGAGCTGTCACAGGGAAAACAGGCCATCCTGCTTTACACTTCATTACTGAAAGTTAACACGTTGCAGACTTGCACAATTTCCTGGTAGAGCTGGATTTGCAAATCCTTAGCTTTGTTTTTGAGAAAAAACAAGGCCCCTGCAAGCATTTTGTAAAGCAAATGAGATAACCAGTTTAAATTGCTTTAAATCTTGATGCTTGAGCACGTGTACAGCAAAGTATGTTTGAAATTCAGTTCTGTGGCCGATGATGAGGCTGCCTGGGGCCTATTCTTGGTTGTGCGCTGAGCTCACTGTAGGTCTGTCTGTGCTGCTCCCTGTGCACCAGGAGCTTTCTGCTCTTCTCCGTCCTGACGGGGAACCCAGCGGCTCTTACCTGCAATCCTCTCCTAGACTGCCTCACGTCCCTGTCTCCTACTCGTTCACCCTTTCTTTTACTGTTTCAGCTCTCAACTATGTTTTATAAACCTCTGTTACCTTCTGTATAACTTTAAATTAAAATAACAGTCATACCATGGATATAACTCTGCTGCAGTAAGTGGAGATATACTGATGTAAAATTGCAGTGAGATCTCATTGACATCAGTAAATCCATGGATTTACACTGGTAGAACAAATTGTAGCCTGTTTTTCAGTTCTCTAAACTGACTGTCCCATTTGTTATTTATATTGAGGTGACATATGGGTGCTCCAGTCATGGGCCAGGAAGCAGCAGGTTGCGGCACAAACCCAGAATAAAAAGATAGCCCCTGCCCCAGAGGGTTTACAATCTCAGTGCGAGAGAAGGGATGGGGAAGGTGACGAAGTACAAGAAAGAAACTTCTCAACCTAGAGATTAGTTCCTATTTTTCATACTGGGTTTGCGTGAGTCCTTGAGGCTGACATCCTGTCGCCATAGAAACAGTCTCCTGTGTCATTGTGGACATTACAGTAGTTATGTGTTGCTGTGGCAACGTTTGTCATGGCGTCTGCCCAGACATTAAGTATTTCAATTAATTGTGAGATTTAGCTGTTTAGTTGCATAGACCCAGTACTAAGTCATCTTCTGAAGAAGAATTTCAATAAATAAAGCTCAATCTCCCCACATTACTTTGATTTATAGCAGTGCAGTGAAAGGAATTTGATGCATATGCCCTAAACACTCTTAACATCATTCCACAATTATTCTTGGTACAACAGTACTGTTTCAGAAAACCCATCACTGGTAATTTAAATACCCTTCCCCTACGAACATTTCCTCAACTTTACAATTCCTTTCCATTTTCAAATGTGTGGGGAAAAGGACTAGAGTGCCTTGAAAGTCAAGCAATTTCACACCAGTAGAGGCAGCAAAATGCTAATGTCCTGCCAGTCACCCCCTCTTTTTTAAATTAATAAGATGCCAGCTTGAGTTTTTTGTTTATCTCAAATCTGATAGTCTAGCAGAGAGGCAGCATCTCTCTATGCTTCTGATTCAGTTTAAAAGGGTAATTTTATCTCTGATAAGGGGAATGTAAGAAAAACAACTGTGGGTTGGAGAATAGGTGGAATGGTAGTTCTGGGACATGATCAAAATTTTAAATCGAGTTGGTGTTTACCGATTTTTAATAACTTTACTCATCTGAGTTTTCTGTAATGTGCTTTGTTTTCTGTTATTTTATGCTTTAATCATTATAAAAACACACAAAGCAACTGGATACCAGCTTGTTAATTTTATACTGACTTAAGAAGTGCTATTGGGATGACAGAAAGCTGTTTGAGGTATTGTGGAAACCTCTAACTAGGTAGATTTTTGCAATAAGACTGAAAGCTAATCAATAGATTAAGGTGTTGGTAGAGTTGAATGCCTGACTTTCAGGTTTCCATTGCAGACTCCCAGAGCTGATGTAGCAGATGTAGTGACACAGTCCTGCGAAGTGCTCCATTCACTCAAAGGCAGACAAGGTTGTTTGGGTAAATCTGATATCTTTTATTAGACCAATCAGATAGTTGGAAAAATTCTTAGCAAGCTTTCAGGTATTAATACCCTTTGTCAGCATGAGAAAACATCTGCAGTTGGTGTGTGCTCTTCCCAAAGAACCTTGTCAGCCTATGTCCTTAGACCAACATGGCTACAACCTACAGCCCCATTCACTCAAAAGATTTTCACAAGCAAGGCAGGTGAGAAGATTAAGAAGCTCCTTCGACTAATGACATGGCAGAAGGGACTGAGCTCACAATTAGCAAATCTGCACATGATACCAGGCTGGACTGAGTTGCGGACACTGTGGAGAACAGGATTAGGATTCAGAATAACCCTGATAAAGTGAAAAGAATAGAATAAAGACAAACAGTACTCTGGTTGAGAATCACTGACTAGTTGGGCTGCAGTACTGCAAAAAAGGACCCTGGGGGCTTCAAGTTGAATATTAATCAACAGTATGCTCTTGTTGAACCCTCCCCCCACCATGGGCAGGGGACCAGATAATTTAGTTTGCGATGACTTAGTTTGGAGCAAAAGATTGAGGGGGGTTTCAGATTCCTGAAGGGGGGAATAAAGAGGATAGAGATAGACTATTCTGGGGCTGCAGGGACAGGACAAGAAGTAACGCACTTACCTGTAAATTGCAACAAGGGAAATTTAGCTTGGACACAGGGAAGAACTTGGAGGTGTTGCTTCATTATGCAACTCAGGTGACTGCTAAACCTAAAAAAACAGTAAGTACTTTAGGTAGGGTGCAGGCACTCTTTTAAGACTTCAACTCCATTTTTCTTCCAAGGAAAGATTTCTGTTTGCTGCTTTCTGGACAACAGAGACAGCTAAAGAAACTACACTTGAACAGTTGCAGGAATGACTCATCTCATGGCATTATTCTCACTACTTTGCATAGTAATAATGTTTTTAACCCTAATTAGTTTTCTTTTCAAAGTGAAGTTAATTGTTATCTGGGTAGAATTGTTTTACATTTGCACTGTTTTTATTTGCAGTATAAAATTCTTCAACTGCGTTGCCATTACCATAAGGCCAGTGAACAACAGAAGACAATTAAAAATGTCTGTTAAAATAATACTGCCTCACAGTCACGCTCAGTCTCTGCAGCTTTGTGTCTCTGTAACACAATGGTTCCTCAACCACTAAAATGCCCCAAAGACATGACAGTCACAGCAAAATGCCTTTCACCTAACCAGCACAACATAGTGAAGATCTGACTGTTGAGCAAGATGGCAGAGGCTTTTTGTAGAATTGTGCCACCTGCATATTCTTTCATAATTTTTTCCTAAACACAGTATCTGACCCACACAATACAAAAGGCTCAGGTGTGTGTAAATTAGGCACAGCTGCGATGCAGATGGGATGGTGTGGCTGGACAAGAGCTCTTCCTGGTGCTAGTCTGGTAGACAGCAATCAGGCATGCAGAATGTTTCTCTAGGCAAGTCTTCACCCACCAAGAGGCAGTTGCAGTGTCTGAAAGTGAGTGGGCCATGGCACAACCACTTTAGGGTGTCTTAGACTACTGTCAGGTTTAATAGTTCCCATCTCTTGCAGGAACATCGGTTTCCCTGGGCACAACTGTCTCCGGGGAACACCCCTGCACACATGCTCTGACACGTGGCAGATTGCCCCAGGTGGGGTAGGGGAGGCTGGAGACACCACTTGGGCTGGCCCCAGCAGCCTTAGCTGGGATCTTGAGAGCCTCTCAGGGCTGCAGCAGTGGTAATCCAGGTGCACAGAACCCAGCTGGCAGCCAGAGCATGGCTCTGGTCACCCAGGTTCTGGTTTTGGCCAGTGCACACTGCTTCCACGTATGCTGTACCACTTTATTTTTTTTGTCTTGTTTTTTTAGATAGCAGGAGTTCCCGGTATCTGATTTTGCCACCATGCTATAAATATGGTGAGCCAATTCATGTGTGTCATGTGCATTTTGCAGTGTCTCAAAAGCCTTTGAGGCATTGCAAAATGCACGTTCCCACTTGTGGACCTTCTAGGGGGGATTCCTTGTATCTTTGCCACTGCACACCCAGACAGGGGTGGCTACATCTGGCTTTAAAAATCTCAATCTTATTCATTTGAGAAAAAGTTTCTCAAACTAGGGTGCATGTATCCAGGGAGTATGTAGGGATTTCTAGAGGGCATATCAAAGGAAGAAATGGGAAAGCAGACGAAAGAAA